GATGTCCACTTGATAGTGGAAGCAGTCAGCTACCATTGAGCTTAGGAGCTCTCCACATACAGCTGGAGAGCCCATGGCATCATAAGAACTGTCCAGGTGGAAGGAACAGGTGCGGATGACGTGCAAACCAGCCCTACTAACCTTATCCTCATTAGGATTGTCTTCCTTAAGAAGCTCTCTTTGGGCTACCTTGTCCTTGGACAAGCCTGCCCTTTCCCACTCTTCTCTACTTGTCTCTTTCGCCCTCTTGATTGTCCTAGTGCCTGCAATGTGGCGCACATAGGATTCTGGCCAAGGATTTGCCCGGATGGCACAAAGAAGAGTACGGTCAGGGCTTGTGGCTAACATCCAACCTTTTTCCTCTAGCACGTTCTTTTCAAGTTGGCGGATAGTGCTGGCCTCTTGCAGAAGCAGGACGTGAGCGCTGATATTGGAAAGGAAGTGCAAGAACAGATTTCCTGCAGTAGGATCTGCCTTATGCTCTTTGTAGGTTCCTTCTCTATCAATCAGGCGATGGAAGCATTGCGGAGTGGAGCGCCTCCTTGATCTTTCCCAGCTTCCAAGGTTCAGGACACAAACTGACAGATGTCCCTGGCTTCTACTAGCAGTCCTATCCCTAACAACCTTAGTGGAGGCAGGCATACTAGCGGAACTGCTTGGGCCAGGCTCATCATCCACCTTGTGAAAAGTATATCCCTTGGCAGAACCTGCGGCAAGTAAGGCGGTGCAAACTTCGGCCACGAGCTGAGATCGGAGCATAGGTCCTTCTGCATTCTTGATAATTTCAAGACGTTCCATGGCGGCTCTCCTTTCCTCCTGTTACTTTTGAACTTCAATGTCATCATAGATATCCCTAAGGTCACCGGCCCTGTAAGCTATGGTCTTATAAATGGTTGAAGGTACCCTTCGCCAAGGTTCCATCTTCTTCTCAACGATTTCGCTGATAAGCTTTTCTTCATTGAGGTGATACTTGGCATGAGGATGCATGCAGGGACTGATTGGTGATCCCGGGGGATGATACCTGTCGTAGCAATTGCGGTTGCAGTAGTGGCGAAAAGCAAGGGCATGGCTACTACGGAAGTAATGGCTCCAAAGACCTCTGCCTCGGTATCTTCCGCCATAGAGTTCGTCTATTACCTTAAATGGTGACCTACAAAACTCCATCTCATAATCATTGGGGTCTAAAATGTCACCATTGTCACTGGTAGTTGACTCCTTAGAATGCTCGGCAACGCTTGCAAGAAAATCCAGAACGCCGGCTTCATTGGTGTCATTGTCTTCCTGAGTGAGAACATCATCGGCCTGCAACTCAATGACTTCCGCCGGACTAAAGACGTCCGTTGAAATTATCTCCTCATCTTCCTCACCAGTAATGGTAGGCAACTGAAAAAAACTTCTGCGAAGTTGTCGACTACCTCACCGGTGGGTGAGCCTGTCTCTTCTTCCATGTCAACCATGGTTTCTGACTCATCACTGATGATTTCATCACCAGGCTCGGTGGTGCAGTCCTCGATGTCGTCCCGCTCTGGCTCCTCAGCAGGAACTTCTGTCTCATCATCTCTCACAAGAACAGCATGGTCTCCCTCAGTCTGGAAGACAGTCCTCGCGTCGTTGAGCGCGTCCACTGCCCTGGAGGTTCCCATGGGGTTGCCCATGCCTACCCCATCAGTGCGAGGTGTGCGGTACACACGTGCTGCGTTCCTTTCAGGAACGGCGTCAAGGACAGTACCTAAAACCTCGAACATGACAGGCGGAATGGATTCCAGGCTTTCGGCAATGTTAATAGATCGCAGCAAATCTTCATAAGAATCAAACTCCATGGTGGCATGCTGACGAGAGAACTCTGTCTCTAAGAATGCGCAATAGCCTGAGAGTTCCTTGTACGCGCGAGAGACAAACTTGCTCTGGGGCGAGAACTCTGCTCGTTTGAGTTTCTTATAGATCAGCTGCGGATCAAACTTGATGGCATAAGGAGAGTCATAGAAGGTCTCCCCTGTTGACCTAAAGTGGACAGAATATTTTCTGCGCTCGGACTCATCGTCCCTGTGCTTGGAGATGTGTGAGAACAAGTCTCTGCTAAAGAGTTCGTGACACTTCTCAAGAAGTAGATCAAAATCTTCCTTGATGTAGATACCCTCATAAAATTTCTCACTTATTGCGGCATACTCTCTAAGCTTCTCCTGATACTTAGCCTGAGCTTCTAAATACCCTTCTTCATGGGGTTGAAGTTTTGGGATTGCAGGTGGAGAACCCCTAGCTAAGGCTTCTGGGGTTAATGTAGTCTCAGGTCCCCAAAACCTATAGGCGGCATCATGAACCCTGGGGATATGATGCTGGTCTGGCACCCTTGAAGACAGTCCATAACCATGCGCGTAATAATACCCAGCGTTGGGTTTTTTATTATACGCTCCAACACAATGCTGCCCCAAACCCAAAATCTGCCTAGTTCGAAGGCGTCCAGGAAAACCTTAATAAGATCTCCTGAGAGAGGATGGCACAGCCACTCAAGCTTATCTGCAACATCAAGCCTGTTGCGGATTCCATCAGGAAGGCTACTGTACTCCATCAGGTGCACGCGGGGTTCATCATAATCTCCACGGGCCTCGACCCTAGAACCATCACGCCCCTGAATCCAAAGTTTGGTGAACCCCTTCTCCCACAGATACCAAGGATTGCAGGTAACCATGTTTACGGAGGAGAGGAACCGTGTAAACTCTTTGGCATTCTCATCTCGTGTCTTGATAACACCATCTATCTCGTCGGTGGACGAGTCTGGCGGCCTGACTTGAGTTGGAAGCGGCGGCATAGGCGGTTCACGAGGAATCTGGCTGCGAAAGTGCTCTGGCGGTGTAGTGTGAAGAGGCTCCAGGTAAGCCCTGGGAACATCACTCATGGCGAGTACCACACCGTTGGGTGTGTCTCTCAGCTGGAATTCATCTTGCAGGAATTTCGTATAATTAAGATTCCAATAGTGAATGTCTCTGCCCCTACGAATCACAGCGCCATGGCGAGGCTGTGTGACTCCTCCAGCATATATAAAGTGTACGCCGACGCGCCCTTTTTCATGGCCAATGCCGTGAGAGTACGGTGACAGAACCAACCCGTGGGCATCAATGGAATCGTAATTCACATTGGAGGAGGCATGAAAAATGTAGCCCATATCACTGCACGCCTTGACGTCTAGCAGCTCACCAAGTGCTGAAGGATCATAGTTCCTTGGCAGGCTGCTATGTCCCTGAACTGCCCTAACCTTGATATGGAACCCTAAGTCTTCAACCCCAGCAGGAATTAGCTTTTTAGGGAAAATGTTGAAGATAAACCGGGCCTTATCATTACATGTCAGGGATGCCAGGTATGACACTGCGTCAACGTCGTGATATGGTCTTAGCCTTGAACCAGGGTCAATGAAGGCTGCTAATTGATGCAGTGAGAGGTGAAGAGAGCTGTCAAGATCTGCAACGTGACTGTGTCGCAAGATAGAGGAGTGCAGCTTTGACAGCTTGTAAGATTGAGAATGCCTCTCTTGCTGCCTTTGTTGGCGAGCACATTCCTGATACTGCCTACTGTAGCTAAGGAACAGCCTATCTGTTACACATCCCAAGGCAACCTTAACCAGGCTATATTCCCAATGTTGGAAAGTTGTCAGGGAGTAGTCTGTCTCGCTGTCCTTCATGAACTCACGTTGCCAACACACAATTCTCTGCGTGAGGCTCACCTGACCTGCGAGAACTTCCGGGTAGGAAAGTTCAATGCAATGTGCACCGGGGATATCCCGCCGGAGAGCGGGTCTTCCCCCCATGACTTCCCTAACACTCAGCTGTCCGCCCATACCTTTAAACCAAGCACGGTTGATTACATGCTCAGAGTAGTCAGGCTCGCCCCCAACGTAGGGGACACCAAACCCCTTCACTGCAGGGTTCAACGGCACGGCATCGGACGAAATCTCGCCGGTGAGCGAGTCCTCGTTCCTAGCTGACTGAAAATGCTTGAGTGACAGACAGTGGCTGCGGAGACGCAGGCACAAATTTACAAAAGAGACTGAAAATTCTCCACAAGAAGGAAAGCTACCTACACGGAGGTGTAGCCTGCTAACTACTCACAGACTTCCTAACATGAGGCATATCTCCTTGCATATTTCTGGAAGAAGATTCAGCTCCTTAGTCAACCAAGCAAGTGCGAAGGCCTTGTGTTCCATCAAGGACCTAAAAGCAGGATGAGAATCAGTCTCCTTGATATCACCACTCATGACAGAATCTACCAAGTTCCTACAGTTAGCACTGGCCTAGTGAGACAATCTGCCAGACAACGCTCTGTGCGGACATGAGATAGATCTGCAATAGCACCTGAGCAGGCCTCCTTCCTAAGCATTTGAATCATGTGAATTGTTTCTTGCTGCTCTGGAACATGAGTAGTAGAAGCCGTAGTAAGAAGATTCTTGGCATCTGTGCGCATGTGAACGCTAGCATCAGAACCAGAATATCCTTCCACAACCCTCTCAGCATTTGGCACGTACCAAAACACTTCATCAAAGCATACAACTCAGCAACAGTGGTACTCAAGGTAGTCCGCTTGATTTTGGTTGATTCAAAGAAAACAAGCGAGCCACTGGTGTCACGACTGTTCTTTCGACGCTTTTCAGCGAGGAAAACAATCATTCCACGTTGCGAGGATTTGTCAGAATTGTTTCGGAACGCGGCATCTGGAATTCCGAGGATTCGTGGATCGGTTTTTAACAGCCAAAAACGAAGCTCGGCGGGTTCATTCTTGATCTGACGACACAGCTTATTTAGCGCCCGGCAGTCTCCTATTGTGGGTGAAGCAGAAGCTGAAGCACAACGGGAGATTGATAACAGGCCTGGAACTGAGTTCTAGACGGCAACCACTTGATACTGCCTAACAGGGATCTAAAAGCTGTGTGCATCTCCTTACTACATCCTTCCGAGTCGGGGGACCCGCGTGGGATAGAGATCTCTTCCAACTCTTCAACATTTGGGTGACACCTATATACTTCTTCTTCTTCTTGGTCTTGTCATCAACCACCCAAGCAACTCTCTGTCCTGTGAACATGATGTCATTGACATCCTCATGACCGATAGAGAGATGCTTGCGTACTGCTTTAACAAACCAATCTAGGAAACTCTTGTCACCAGTAATCATGAGATCATCAACATGCAAGGACAGAACACCAATAGGCTTCCTACCTCTACTGGGACTGCCATGAACAGGATCAACAAAGTGTTCCAACAGTTCATCAACCACTTCAGGAGTAAGTTGAGGCTTGTCCAAAGTAGCTTGATAAGAGGACTTCTCAGGCAGATAAAGGGAAACAAGAATCTCAACTTCTTCTTCTAGAAAATCTTGCTTACCTCCATTTCTGAGATCAGTGCTCTGTTCTCTATAACCCACCAGGTACCTTGTCGAAAGACGCAGGAAACTCTAAAAGGGTAGTCCTTAGTCTTATAGGTCGGTTCAGGGGTCCTAAGAGCCTTGGCCCTATGAGTAACCTGAGCCTGACCATTAAGGAAAGGAAACCATCCCTTCTTGTGAACTGCAGTAGAATCTAGAAATTTTAGAAGGGCCTCGTCTACAACATGTCTACTACTCCGTGACCTTCCGAGTCGTAAGCGCATGCGCAATGTCGGGATAATCTTCAACGGACCTTTCCTCCGTATGGCCGGAGGTAACTGACGGATCCTTCACTACAAAGGACTCAAGGAAGTGACAGAAGTCGGCTTCCTCTTCGGTGGAAGAGCCTGCCGCAATTTCAGCCGTCTTGTCAGCCGAGTTGGGCTGGGCTTCAACCTTAGGTTCTCGCCAGGCTCCTTCATAGCAGACATAGGTACACCTATCTGCCCTAGTAGGGACCAAACCACAGGCTCTAATGAATTTATCAAGGCGGTTCCACCACCTTCTTGGAGCCATAGACAGGTCTCATACAATATCCTACTAGGTAAGGAGGCAAACCTAAGTCACCAGGAAGTTGAATAATGACAGCCCGGCGCGATAAATTGTAGAGTTCCCCCTGAAGAAACGCAGTTTTAAGGTCCAAATGCAACAAATCCCACAAAGAACTGGCAGCCTGCTGGCAGACGAGACGGAAGCCATACCGCGTAGCAGTGGGAGGGTCAGTTTGTTGCTCCCAACCATGCTTATCCTGAAAACCCCTACAGACCCATCTAGCCTTAAATTTGGAGAAATTACCGTCTTTGTCAACCTTAACGGTAAGAACCCAACGGCCCGTAAGGTAATTTGTACCCCCAGGTGCAAACTTGAGAGTACGCTTATCCAGGAAGCGGATGGCGCCATTGTCCAAATAACTCTTGAATTCTTCCAGCTTGGCACGACGAATTTGTTTAGCATACTTACGCTGCATTTCCTGGGTAATAACTCCAGAATTAATTTTCCCGGACAACAATGTCATAAAATCTTCAAAAGACTCATCACCTAGAAGAGGGATATCGGGAAAGGGGTGGCCCTTAGGAACAGGGAAAAGCACGTCTTCAGATGACAATCCCTGGCCTTCATAGTCAATGGTGGCATCAGAATCAGAATCTGAATCCGGTGCAGCCTGTTCCCCCGGAGTATCCGGCTCAGGAGACTGAGCAATGGGAAATTCTCCTTCCGTAACTGGAAGGCCCGGCCGGCTACCCGACGAAGGCGGCGCGGATCGTCTGGCGGATATGAAGGTGTCGGAGCGCTCGTGCCCTGATGTGACAACGGAACGTCCGGATCGGAATATTGCGGTACGGCGCCAGCGGAAGGCCCTGATGGACCATCATGGCGGAGGACCAGGCGGAAGAATTTCCGCCTCGTGCTCCATCGGAAATGGTGTATCATCAGGATCTACCGGAGGCTGCGACGGTACCACTCCGTAGGGACCGCCGCCTCCGTGTGGCCGGTGGCCCAGGCCCAGGAGGGTCATTAGAATGCCCTGGAAGCATATCTAAGCATATCTTCGTCATCTACATCAAATGGAACAGGACCCCCAGGTTCATTAAGGTCCGGATCACTGAGATCTTCTCCTGGAACAGGAGGATACTGAAACGACGGATCATCAGAACCCGTGGATCCCGGATGATCCGGTTGGCGCCTTAGAAGCTCACCAGTGGTTTCACCTGAAAAGACAATAAAAGACCACTTGGTGAGATCTAACTTCTCATAGAAGGCTCTAAGCTGGTTTACCAGAACAAAGAACACCTTTTCAAAATCACCAGGTTCCCACATAAGAACAACAGAAGCAGGATCTTCTGCAAAACAGGACTAACCTTTCCTTAAGTGCCTCTATATACACTACAGTGCTCAAAAGGCAAATGAGGAAGGGTCATAACCCTGACATTCTGCATTGAAGGACATAGTTCCCTGGCAAGTTCATCTGTGGAGGAGTTGATCTCAACTTCTACACCAAGACGCATAGAATCAACTTTCTTCAAGGATTGAATCAAAGAACTAGTGACAAAACGCTGTGGCAATACATATTAATGACCCACAGGAAGTTTATTAGAAAAATGCTTCATCTTGCTGATAAGGGAATCATGTGGGAAAATCGTATCACCCAAGCTGCTCCTATCATGACGTAGGCTCAATGAACACAGAAGGCCATCATCTACGTCTTCGAACAAATCTTCAAAAAGGAAGACTTGCCTAGAGTCACAGGATGGTTTCTCCTGTGAACATGATACCAACAAGGTAACAAACTTGGCATCATACGGTTTTCCCTCAGGAAGAACTGGTAGATTATCAACAAGACGCTTCATCCATCCTGAAGGTAAATTTGTGGCCAAGTAGGCAGAGTCATCAGTAGATTGGCGACCTACACAATACATATTGCTCATCCAACGCAGTGTCCTAGAAGAACGTGATGACCAAAACTGAGAAGTGTTAGGAGCAATCACCAAACAATGCTTCCCCCTTTGGGTTTGCCATCTAGCAACATCAGTACAAAAGCTCCAAAGTTCCTTACGCATGGGAACATCCTTAGGAGTGATGGCATGAAGGACAACAAGGGATGAGTCATACTTGACAAGGTCTTTCCAAGCTAAAGCTATTGAGTGCTGCAGACACTTCTTGGAAGTAAACTGCAAGTCCACTGCAGGAGCTACTGTTTTTCCCTGATGACTCAGGTAGGCTCCTACGCCACTGCATGTATGTAGGACTTCTATACAGTCTACAGGACCACTATCACAACACAAGTGATAACACACTTCATGTTCTGACACAAAGGATGCACTGGCATTGTCTACCTCATCGGTGGATGAGCCTGACTTATTGTCTGAAGAAGGCCCCTCCAAATGAGGAATCTGAACATCATGCCATTCATCATGATCCCTTCTGACCTTGGATTGATTCACCCTAAGAAGCACCGTGGGCAACTGAACCAAAACCATAGCACCTTCTTGGGAAACTACAGTACCTCTCATCCATACACCTTCACTCTTCTTCTTATTATCGTCTTTATGCCAAACAAAAACCTTCTCCCCCTTAGTGTAAGGACCGTCCGAAGGCATAACTCGCTTAGCCAGGTCCTTCTTGAGGCCTGTGGACTGGCGCGCTTCCAGATGAGCCTTCATGGCTATGGTCCTCAGCTGCGTCGCGGTCCTGTCCTCAGGAAGTCCTTCTAAAGAGAGTTGTTCAGGATTAGAGGTCTCTACATCTAAGAGGTCTGGAGGTCTTCTACCTGTAGCTACTTCTGAAGGAGAGTAGCCGGACACTGTAAGCTGGCAATTACGAACGAAAACGATTCGTTTCACGGCTTGGCGAAGTGTTATCTTCTCAAACATACCTTCTTCACCAAGAGACTTAACAAACAACACCCACGTCTTTTTGAACAAACGAACAGCGGGCGGTTTCGGCTCGGTTTGGCCAAGGTGTCCTTGGCCCTAGGATACTGAGCAATATTATGGTATTTGTAGAACTTCTCAAAGTCAGGCGTGAAAAACGCAGTATCGCCAACAACTCTTTTCGGAACACAGTTGTTTTCCTCGATCCACAGTCGAAGAACAGAAATCGTTTCCTCCGGTAACAAGGTTTTCTGAGCCGTAGCCCACAGGAGATTTGTAGCGCCATCAAGAACCAAAAGAACAACGTATTTCGCGGTACGAAACTGAATTTCTTGGTGGTCCACGAAAATAACGTCGCCAAATTCCGACGCACGCATTCCTGAGATTCTGGCTCGCGGCGGACTTGAAACCGAAGTACCACACACCTTGCAACCCTTGACTATCTTGTCATACTTTTCGTAAACAGACTTCGGCAAACCTAACACGCTAGTCCTTCTACGAAATTGCGCAGGTGATGTGTGGTAATGCTTCACGTGCAGCTTATACAACTCTACTTCATTTTCGAGTCTCTTAAGCATACGCTGGACACTAGGTGAGGCAGCACTAAGCTCTTGACCAGGCAAAGGAAGCTCTACCCGCCTAGGTTCTAGGGACGTGTCTTCCTTAGCTACTGGAGTACCCTCACGCTTCTTTTGCTCTCGACGCTGTGAAGGTCCAGGTCCCTCGTCGTTGAACGAGCCGCCGGGCAACGGCTTTCCGCCAGGTACCTCATCGTTGGATGAGCCTCCTGAAGGCGGCTTGCGACTGGAAGACGAAGGCTCATGGACAGAGTCTGGAACGTAGATTTCTTCGTCTACGTCACCACGGCGATTGCCTACTGAGATTGATACCCGGACGTTGGTCCGGCGTTCGAAACCTCCAGGCTTGACCTTGAAAATGGTAGTGCCCTTCCAAGGTTTCTCTTGCCTCACTACCTTCGGAGCATCCTTGCCACGCCAATTGTCCACCTTCTGTTGGGAAGTGCCATCTTCATATTCGAACTTGGTAGCACGAGTATCCTCAAGATACTCCAGAGGAATGGGTGTATTATTCTTTTCTGGCTTATATGATTGGGACCTAAGCTTCCTATGGACCCTGATCATTTCTTTATTGGGCTCATTGAGTACCCATTTATCCTCTGTAACGAGTGCTTCTTCAGAAGGCTGAGGATTGGCAGAAGTCTCATCTTGCTGGTGAGCAAGTCCAGACTCTTGCGCAGGTTCTTCTTGTGCATGATTGCTGTAATCATAGTGAACATTCTGAGTGAAGAAGCTGACAAGCTGAACTTGGAACTCAACATTGTACATATACTCTGCCATGACCTCAAGATCCAACACAAGGTGAGAGCTTCTGGAAGTATCCAGCGGCAAGTGGTAGATGCCCAACGGGTCACAGGTGAGAGAGGCATTACCTGGTGTAAGGTTGAGAAAACCTCAAGCTGCGCATCTGCGGAAGCGACATAAGGAATGGCACCTGACCTTTTTGTACAATGTCAAACTCGGTGCAATGAATAGAACCATAATAATCACTCATGTAAACCACTAGCTTCTCTGTGCACTTAGAGGTCTGACTATTGGCAAAGGAGAACTGAGAGGTGGTAGGCTTGATTTCATACCACAAGTAGGTGTTGTGGCCTTGCCTGTCGATGTGCTGGCAAAAATGGTTCACTGCTGTCCTAGAACCCATAGCCTTAGTACACCCTAAATCTAAGATAACCTTAGTAGGGGACATATCGACTACGCGCAAGGCTGAAGGAGAGGCCATCATGGCTTCACCAGGCTCTTCAGGCTCATCTTCATCATCACCATTTGAAAAGGAGTCAGGTGAATGAGGCTCAAAATCCTCTAGACCTGAAGGCGTTGTATCACCTGGAACACGAGATCGTGGCAGGAACATCTCATCTGGATCAGGTTCTCTCCAATGCCTAACCTCATAATCGCCAAGGTCGCCTACACCTGCTCCATCATCTTCTCCTGCAGGATAACCTAACGCTGCATGTATGGCTTCTTGCTGCCTACGCCATTCATGCCATCCATCAGGAGCATCATCATCTTCATCTGAGGAATGGGTACCAGGCGGTTGCACCTGCCTGCCTTTTCCCTTGTCATGTCTGAACTCAAGAGTGTAGGCAGGCTTTCCTTTGACGATGGGACCTCCTTTACCCTTACCTATCATATACCTATGAGAGCGCACAACATCATTAGGAAGTTCAAAAGACTGCTGTGGAAGAGTAAGCACATTATCATCTGGCGCAAGTTCCTCCTCTGCTGGCTGATCTGACTGACCAATGACCAAAGTGATGTGCATACCAAGGGCGAGTTAAATAGGTCGCATCCTTGCCCTTACCTTTCGACATGGAAAAAGGCAAAACAGATGGCGCAGGATTGACGTTGCCGGAGCTGGAACTGGCTGGTTCCCCACTGTTGAGTGGGCCTCCAAGCAACGCAAAAGGTTCCTGGTCACTTGTTGGTGAGAAAACCATAAGGAACCCCTCACCATAGAGAGACCTATGCTGATGCCAAAGCCAAATCGGTATGAGCCAATCGTCGAGCAGAACGTTATAATCCTCCTCGCTGAGTGAATACACGAGAGTGGCTTACTGAACGACTTGATGGAGATCACGGCGCCACACAATAAGCCTTATGTTATTATGGCCGTACCTCCGCACCTCAAACTTAAACCTATGACGGAAAATATTCCAGGGAACCCTTACCTCATGTAAAGCTTCAGGGTAACCATTGGGGTCTGAAATAGGCCCATGGGCTCCTGGAATAGTTCCCGCATTCCTAGGATAAACCGTAAGGGTTTGGGCGCACCTTTCATGAGTTAGAAGACCAACTTGCTCATGCGGAAGAGGAGGCCAAGGAGAGAAATCATCACTGTCAGGTTCTTCCTCGGCGACAGCTACAGATTCTTCCTCGGCCTGTTCGGCAACAGCGGCAGGTTCCTCATCGTTGGATGAGCCTCCTTCGACAGGCTCTTCCTCAGAACCAGAAGAAGAAAAGGCAACAAGTCTACCATCAGAATTGCGATAGACAGCGCGTATCTGACCACGCTTGTTGGGAGCATACATTGGAATACCAGGCAAGGGAGCCCGCATTCCTTGTGGTTCGGGCTGGCCAGGTTGCTGAATGTATGCCTTGCCCTTAGCCTTTCCTTTTGTTGTATACCACATACGGCCCTTACCCCAGTAATGGGGAAGTATGTAGTAAAACCCAAACTGGCCAAGATCACACCCAAACTCGTCAATCCACATCCTAGATCGTGGCGTAAGGCCAAGTTCCCAAGGAGTAGAGGAGTGATGCAGGGCAATGATCCCTAGAGAAGGATCCTGAGGAGGAAGATAGATCCTTTGAAGCACGATTGGGGATACGCCAAGATTGCGGTAAGGCTGGCTGTTAGGAGGAGGACTGCCGATGTTGTCATCATCGATGTTGCTCCACTCGTCGAAATCCTCATCAAAGCAATTGGGGTACACAAACCCAATGCTAGAGGAGTGGTAGTGCCAGTCGGTGTCAGAAACAGGCGGCCATGGATAGACACGAAGACCCTCTGGGTGATGCGAGGATCTACGCGGCACATAGCAAACGACTACTCTTCCTAAAGGCTTAGTCCCAAGTTTGTCATACATAAACTTAGGGAAGCAATGTTCCTTACCTTGAGGAGGAAGGCTTAACCAAGCATTTGGGCCCTTAGCTTGGTAAATTATCCAAAGGTAAGCTTCCTCGCGCTCTTCCAAAGGCGAGCGCTTAAGCATTTTGTAGCACTGAAGAGGAAGAGTTTGTGTGAAGAGGAAGTCTTGAGTCTTGAGTTTCCTTCCGAAGCATACTCCTGGATATCAATCCACCAACAAGCCGACCCATTCCATACTGCCACCCTATGAAATGGGGGTCCCTCCAAATAACCGAAGCAAAATAAATCAATGCTCGTCTTGGAAGAACGCCAGTCATCAACAAGTGGAGCCTTTCAGTAGGGTTTAAGGGTAGAGTCCTAACTATTGGACCCCAGTCTCCTCTATTCTCTTCGAAGAAACCCCAGACCGTCCACTGCAAGAAGGCAGACTTGGCACCACTTCCTTCACCTGGAAGAATGGCAAAGCTTGGTCCATGGAGGGTACGTATGAATGCTAACTCAAACACAATGCGGTTGAGAAGGGATTCAGGTCTCCGAAGGACTTCTGGAAACTCGTGAATAGCATCTGAATGGGGTTCATAATCTTGAAGGATACACCAAACCCTATCAGAAATGCAGTGGCAGTAATGCCATTCATGAGCCAGAAGCCATTCATGATAAATAAGAATCCTAGGTTCAGACATTGACTCCTCACTAAGGAAATGAGAAACATTCAGATTCATACCAGGGGTATAAGCTCCAGGAGTCAGGTTCTCAACCGGTGGCATTGAGTTACTAGCATAAAAGTAAGAACCATACTCTGAATCGTCACTATCTAAGTCAGGAACATAAACATCAAAACCACAGTCGACTTCAGAGTCGGTAGTACGACATTGGGTGTGCAAGGAGCCCCAAGGAGTTCCAGGTTCCTCATTGGTGAATGAGCCTCCTTCTGAAAGGGGCTTCTTCTTCAACATCTAGGAACTGTGCAGCATTATCATCAGGCTCATTATGATCAACATCAGCATCGGGCACAACATCTGGTTCCCCAGCGTTGGCTGGGCCTCCGTCAGCTGGTTCCCCAGCGTTGACTGGGCCTCCAAAGGCTGCACCTATCAACTCGGGTTCCCCAACGGCGGTCGGGCTTCCCACATGATGCACAGCAAAGAAAGAGGAAGGCAACGAAGGGGCATCTACCGTAGCTTGAGCCTCAGGTTGCGATGACGCTACATGAGAGCTACCTTTCTTGTCTTTACCATC